AGGCACAAAAGAGCATAAGCACACACTCACACACACACACACACACACACACACACACAAGACACACTAGACACTAACACACACATACACAGACCAGTATACACTCACAACACACACACACACACACATAGAGTTGCTGTTGCTGCAACTGCGCTGGCTTTGCGACAAAGCCTTTGAATTGCAGTCGCAGCAATAGCTGAAATATCGTCCAGGGCTTAGAGTTCAGACTCTTCAAACGGACTCGCATTTTGTATATAAACTAGCTAACTTTAGTAAGTTACTACATTTGTTGTCCTTGTTGTTAACTATGTTAGGCAATAAACAGTGCTCCTCTCGTACATCCAAAGTGGCATTCCAGTGAAGTGGCTCGAGGCATTGCCGTCGTTGCCTTTGTCTTTGTCTCTATCTCTGTTTCTGTCTCTGTCTTTCCTGATTTTCTAATTGTTTGATTTTTATTGAGTCTGGCGTTCGGTTCGTGGTTAAATATGAATGCCTTTTCGCCATTCTCGCCGGATCTTTGGGGCTGCTATAATTGGTTGACTGCGTAAATGAGTGCATTCAACTTGATTGCCAGCGAGCTAAGGATATCTCATTAGCTGCTTATCTGCTAACTAGTTGGTCTCCCACAATTGAAGTTTATTCAACTCTAGCACTCAATTGCCGATGGGGTTTATTATGAGTGCATTCAACTTGTTGTCATGCCATTTGCAGATACCCAGCAGCGGCACACATAAATTGCTGCTCTAGGTACTTCTTTTTGAGGTCATTTAACTGTGGCCCAAACGAAGAAGCGGAAAAAACTTGAAGATATGTATATGAGTAAGTAGTTATTGTTGATATTAACTCGTTATTATTGACAGTATTGAGATTAAAGAGTTGTACTAGATACTAGATACTAGATACGAGATACGAGATACTAGATACTTGATACTAGATACTAGATACTAGATACTAGATACTAGATACTAGATACTAGATACTAGATACTAGATACTAGATACTAGATACTAGATACTAGATACTAGATACTAGATACTAGATACTAGATACTAGATACTAGATACTAGATACTAGATACTAGATACTAGATACTAGATACTAGATACTAGATACTAGATACTAGATACTAGATACTAGATACTAGATACTAGATACTAGATACTAGATACTAGATACTAGATACTAGATACTAGATACTAGATACTAGATACTAGATACTAGATACTAGATACTAGATACTAGATACTAGATACTAGATACTAGATACTAGATACTAGATACTAGATACTAGATACTAGATACTAGATACTAGATACTAGATACTAGATACTAGATACTAGATACTAGATACTAGATACTAGATACTAGATACTAGATACTAGATACTAGATACTAGATACTAGATACTAGATACTAGATACTAGATACTAGATACTAGATACTAGATACTAGATACTAGATACTAGATACTAGATACTAGATACTAGATACTAGATACTAGATACTAGATACTAGATACTAGATACTAGATACTAGATACTAGATACTAGATACTAGATACTAGATACTAGATACTAGATACTAGATACTAGATACTAGATACTAGATACTAGATACTAGATACTAGATACTAGATACTAGATACTAGACACTAGATACTAGATACTAGATACTAGATACTAGATACAACACGAGTGCTAGATAATAAATATTATTATTACTAGCTATTACTCACTAGTATTACTCACTAAGTATTAAAATACTATATTACTATATTCTATATACTATATATTATATGCTAATTGTCTGATAACATATGCTAGATATTACGTACTGGAAGCTAGTCAAATGTAAATAATAAGTAAATCTCTAATTCCGATAAGCGTTTCACTCTAATTTATTAATACTGAGTATTTCATTAAGTCTACTCCGAGTTATTTATTTAGTCTAGATAGTAGATAAAGATGTGATAGATGAAAGCTGTCACTCTTAGCCATTACTTAGACCACAAAAAACACTCAATGTCTCTTTGAAATTATTCCTCTTTGACTAGCCCGGCGCAATGTGTGTTAACTACTCAGTGCACTTTAAAGTCTAAATGGCCTTCACACATAGATACATTCATGCATTGCATACATATAATTACAGCAAGTCAGTCATTTAAGTGGAGCAATCTCTTGGAAGCTGCAAGCATCGCAGGCTAATTAACATAACTGAAATGCTGCACATTATGAGCTGACAGTTGCAATGACAATAAATTGTCAAGGCTCTTGATACATGCCTCGATTACAGCCGGCTCGTAGTTGCTCGGCCCGCCAAGCATTCATTAGCCAGAGACGATGACGACGTCGAGCAGGAGGAGGACGACTTAATTGTGTCAGAGATTCGCGAATTCTCGTTGCGAGTTGAACGCCTGCTAATTGGTGAATTTCGTGATAAATTGCATGCCTCTGGGATTGCGTTGGTGACGCCAACGGCTGACTCCGTCTCTCCGTTTCTCAATAATAAATCAATTAATCAGGCTGCAGTTGCTGCTTCCTCGGCTGAACTTTGCTCTGGCCGTTACTATGGCTGCAGAATTAAAATGAATTGATGAAATCATTCAACAAATTGTTTGACATTTGGCTGTATTTTTAGAATTTATTATTCTGCCCGAGTGTGTGGGGCGTGTGTGCTATTGTGTGGATGTGGGTGTGGGTGTGGTGTGTGTGGGCTTGCCTGTGCGATTACAATTGAAATTCTGGCTAGCTCAAAGGCTTCGCGCCGCCAAATAGGCAACAACAACAACAACAGCAAAATGAAACAATTGTGGCAAATGCAACGACAAACAGGTCACATATGTGTCATAAATGTGTCAGCGACGGGAACGTGCATATATTAGCGATAATAAATTTTCTGTTTTTTCGGCTGTGCCCCCATGTGCTAACCGAAAAACCCGAAAAAATACCTTCCAAAAAGGAATCGGCCGATGAGGAATCATTTTCATTGTTGCTGGCTGCTTGGGACTCGCAGCAGCTGACAATATCAGCAGACGGCGCAATCCAACGATAAATATGATTTACAAAGCTCTTGCTTTTTGGCCAACTCAAACAAGCAAACAAACAAAAAATACACGAACAAAATACTGTATCAACAAAACGTAGCCAGACATAACAATATTTAGAGAGTTTTTGGCCCTCGAGCTAATCGAGCAGTGTACAAATAAGAAAAATTAATAACAAGCAAACCTCCAAGTGCTTTGTTTTTCAAATATGAGCAAATGCTTAAAAAGTTGCTAAGATAATCTTGTAAAAAAGTGAGTTTGCATATATTGTTTAATGAATGCCAGAATGTCAAGTCTGAGTGGATTTTTGTGACTGAAAACATTTGCTAGAGGGTTTGGCTGAAAAAAGCTCACATAGATATTATTATTATTTTCTTTAAATATTTATTATATGCCTTTATTATGATTCATATTGTTAAACATTTTTATACTCATTCACGAAAGTGAATCAGTATATTGGTTTTGTGCAATGTCCGTCTTGCTGTCCGTCCGTCTGTCCGTCTGTCCGTCTGTCCGTCTGTCCGTCCGTCCGTCTGTCCGTATGAACGCAATCTATTTCGGCGCTATTGAAGCTAGAGACTTGAAATTTGGAACACATACTCGTGTATATCTCCGATTTATAAAGTGTTAAAATTTTCCCGATCCGCCCACTAGGGGCGTGGCAAATCGGAAAATGCATTTTCCGATATACCAGAAATCATATAAGTTGAAGAGCTAGAAAGCTGAAATTTGGTATGTAGGTCCGCATCGACAACCCAAGATCACAAGCTATGGCGGATATATCTCCGCCCATTGGGGGCGTGGCAAATCGGATAAAACTGTATCTCCTAAAGTTGTAAACCTAGAATGCTGAAATTTTGCATGTCAGCTAATGTTATGATTCTATAAAGTCTAAAAATAAAATTATAAGTCTACACCCATTAGGGGCGTGGCAAATCGGACCTGAAGATATAGTGATTTTTCAAATTCTGCTATTTTTTGGACACTATTGATGCCAGAGATCTCAAATTTTGTATATATACTCGGGCTGATCACCCAAGACCAAAAAGCTTTGTCGGATATATGTCCGCCCACAGGGGGCGTGTCAAACCGCAAAAATGTATATCTCCTAAAGTATAATAGCTAGAAGCTTCAAATTTAGATAGTTGAGTTACTGGTAGCCTCATCTATCGATTCTCCAAAAAATAATTTTTACGCCTCTTTAGGGGCGTGGCATATCGAAAAATACCCTGTAGTTTTCACTTTTTTTGAGAGTAAGCATTCAAACTTTGCAGTTAGGGTACTGTTATCTCGTTCTAGAAACTGACCAAAAATGAGGTGTCTACGCCCAGTAGGGGCGTGGCAAATCGGAAAAGCCTGTATATTCTACAGTATTAGAGCGAAATTTAACTACTAAATTGTTGATGGGATGTGAATGAGTATTCCGCAGTCGGTAACGCCCGACTGCAACGTTCTTACTTGTTTATTTTTTTTTTTATTAAATTTGTATTTTGTATATTCATTAATTTAATATAATCTTTACCAAAATTTAGTTTTTATTTTATTTGTGCTGTGTTGCAGCAGTGCTTTTGAATTAATATACATTCTTTTTAATCATATTTAATTACTCTTAGTAGGTTTCTCTTAATTTCATCATTTCCTTTCTTTTATGCATTTTTAAAACCAGAAAATAGAGGTGCAAAAGCACCGACAAATATAACGCCATCAAAATATTATTTTCCTGAACTTTGAGCACAAAGACAAGCCAAAAGACAGTGCCAACTTTTAAGCACTTTCCTGCCACACTCATTCATCCACTCTCTCTCTCTCTCTCTTTGCCTCCATCTCATTCCCAGACCCTCTTTTTCTGTCTGTGGCTGACTTTTGTAATTTCGCACACATATGCCAAACTTAAATAAACGTAAAACAACTGTGAAAAACTTGTTCAGTTTGCTGCAGGTGAAAACATTCCAGAGGACTTGCTGAGCCGCTTTCAGTCCGCTCAGCCTGCTCAGCCCAGGCCCAGTTCCGTGCGGCGTTTCTTTGCTGCCATTTGAGATCTGAGCGCTTTGTTAGATGTGTCAACTTGTCAGGGTGACGCGCCAGTAGAATTGAGTTGAGTATTCAATGCCGGTCGCTTCAGCTTTGAGCCAACATCAAAGCTGTCTGGTAAACCACATAAAATTTCCATTTAGCTGCTAACGGCTGGCTTATTTAAATCCGTATGTATTTATTTTCCATTTTCAGTATTATGCCAAATTGATTGAATCTCCTGGGAGACACATGCAAATTACTTTAGTTATGTCAGTCAACAGAGCCAGAGCTCTGAGTGTTTACTACGAGCGTATTAATAGAACTGCAAAAGTTGAAATTAGCCGACGAGGAAAAATCAATTTGGCGACAGTTCGTGCCATAATGCAGAGTTGGCATGTCAGCTTCAAATGCGTATGTGAGGCATCTGCGGCATGGCCACAATTCGAGCCACAATTCGGGATGTCGATTATGAGACTAAGTGTGGTTAAAGCAGAAACTGCTAAAAATCCAATCAATAACATTCTTTTTATCCCACAGGCCAGACGTGCTCCGCATGGGGAATGTGTGTGGGGAATAGCCTGCCGCAGCTATTAACGCAGTCACGGAGACAAGGCCAGTGGAGACCCATTGGATATGCAAAGGCAGCCAACAAAACAGCCCCTGGGAGGATACCAACACTCATTCACATACAAGCACACACACATACACACTCACACATTTGTGGAACTTGACTGAACTGACGCTCAATAAACATTTCAAATGTTCAATTATTTTTCAATTGCATCGATTTACGCCGAGCATTCAAATGTTTTGGGACTCCACCTAATACAATATAAAATCTGCGACGCAAAATGACAACGAGACAGTTGATAAAGCCCTCGGTGACAGTCGGAACGTGTCGAGGGGAGAGCATGCTGGCTGCTGGGAGGGAGAGGATAGGGAGCGGATAGTGTACAAAGCATGATTTTTCGTGTTTCAATTTAGCACGTGACCCCATTGAATTAAAGGGAGTACATAGTTAGCCGGAAGTTATTTGACAGCCATTTCGCGTTGCCGCCGGCTAAAATGTGCCAGCCATTTGGATGCCACACAATTCCAAATCCAATTCAGCTGCTTTGCATTAAAGCGCAACCAAGACCTTCGCTGAAGCACTATATCCGCTGGCATCCATTCGACAACGACGACGACTATGTCGACTTTACTGCGGCTTACTCTGCGTATGCGTATTTTAGGTTGCGTGGGTTTGTGTGCTTTAGCCAGAGTGCCCGCCACAGTAAACAGGAAATGCTGACTTGACAGCGCCATCGTCCCTTACCCATAGAGCAGTCGATTCCTCACTTACCCCTCCGCCCACATTCCACACTGTCAAAAGGGGGCTCGGCAGCTGCCATGGCAACTATTCGCTTTACCGCAAAAACCAGAAACCATTTGGGCGGCGAAGCCCGACGCGATAATCCTTTCGATTGACTTGGACATTTTTTTTTCAGGAACTCAGCTAGTGGCAATGAAAAAACATGCTAATGATTTGGCAATCATTTCAAATAGCTGATTTTTTAAACTGCATTTATGCTTTGGGGTGTTGTCATGTCACCAAAGCAGCTTTTCAATTTTTAATCCTTAAAAATCCGACAAAACATTGTTATATGTCTTTATTTTATACTTTTTACAGCTTATGCAGCGTGTACATCATTTCGCCTGAATAAATCATAGAGCTATTGCCATAAATCACCCGAAAAAAGCAACAGCTAATCAACATACGTTAAAAGAGACGAATAACGAACATGACAACAAAAAATCATGCAAATTGAAATGGACACAGACACACATATAAATGCAGCAGATACTATAATCCAATGTATCAACATATGTGAGTGTGTGGGTATGTTGTGGGCTAAACATACAGTGGCTCCAACGCCAAATCGGACAAGACTATTTATTTATTTCAATAAGTATTTTCTTTAGCAGTAAGTTAACTTTTTACCGTTTTCACATTTTTTCTCAAATCTATTATGTATTAGTCCCCTAAAACAAAAAAAAAAAATTTTAATTTCAAATGACAACATTTTTTTTATTTTAAAAAACTAACAACAAGTCCGATTTTGAGCTTCAACGCCAAATCGGACAAAAGAAAACTGCAAGAAAAAGATCCGTTATTTGGCGGAGATTTTCGTTTTTGTTTTGCTTATTGCGTTTCGTTATGTTCTCAAGCTCATAGGCGTACAGTAACACAAATTATTTTTGCGAAATGGCTCCACGTGGGAAGCAAACTGGTGTTGAGGCACGCCAAATAATATTAAAACTGCATTTTGATGGCAAAACTGTTAGAGAAATAGCAGAGCTGGTCGGAAGAAGCAAATCTACCGTCCATGATATCATAAAAGGTTTCGGGAAGATGGAAGATTGATTAACAAAAGCCAGGAGGGAAAAAGAAAGCGATTAAACTCAAAGGGAAGAGCGGTCGATTATAAGGGATATTAAGGTTGATCCCTTTAAAACCGCAAAGGAACTAAGGATGTCATTAAAAACAAACTTTGGAAAGGATGTGTGTGACAACACAGTGCGCAATACTTTGCATCGGTATGATTTGCATGGCCGAGTTGCCCAAAAAAAGCCTTATATTAGCCCTAAGAACAAAGCGTTTAGGGTAAAATTCGCGAAAGAGTACTTGCTAAAAACGGATGACTTTTGGAATCATGTTAGTTGGTTGTATATCATATTAAATACCTTTCTTTTTTTGCTAATTATCTTATTTAAAGGTGTTGTTTACTGATGAAAGTAAATTTAATTTGCATGGGTCCGATGGTAAGGTGTATGTGTGGCGTAAACCAAATACTGAGTTTGAGCCCAAGAACACAATAGGCACTGTAAAGCATGGAGGAGGTTCAGTCATGGTTTGGGGCTGTATGTCGAGTGCGGGAGTTGGCCATTTGCACTTTATTGATGGCATACTCGATAAATTTGGCTACCTTGATATTTTGAAAAAAAATGTTAAGCAGAGTGCGGAGAAATTGGGAATACTTGAAGACTTTGCTTTCTATCAAGACAACGACCCCAAGCACACTTCAATGCTAGCTAGGCTCTGGCTAATCCACAATTGTCCCAAATTGATCCAAACGCCTGCCCAGAGCCCGGATATAAACGTAATAGAAAATCTGTGGGAAATTTTGGCGAGGAAAGTTTACCAAAACCGGTATAACAATCTGGACCAATTGAAAATGGGATTACTTGCAGCTTGGAACTCCATAGAGCCAGAAATCTGCAAAAAGTTGGTCAAATCAGTTCCCAATCGCTTGCAGGCTGTTGTCGCAAACAAAGGTTTTGCAACAAAATATTAAATATTAAGTTTTTCTCTTATTTTTTATTAAAGTTTTCTTTTGTCCGATTTGGCGTTGAAGCTCAAAATCGGACTTGTTGTTAGTTTTTTAAAATAAAAAAAATGTTGTCATTTGAAATTAAAAAATTTTTTTTTTGTTTTAGGGGGCTAATACATAATAGATTTGAGAAAAAATGTGAAAACGGTAAAAAGTTAACTTACTGCTAAAGAAAATACTTATTGAAATAAATAAATAGTCTTGTCCGATTTGGCGTTGGAGCCACTGTAAATCTAACCGAGAGCACAACACGCAGATAACCAAACGGTTTACGAGCGCCCAAAAAAAAAGGGTTAAAATTTATTTCAACATGGAATTTTCAAGTGTATTAAAATGTTTTATTTTTATTTCGATTTTCATTTTCATTTTATTTTTTCGCTGCTCATTGTTGCAGCAGCGGTGGTAACAGTGGCAGCAGCTGTTGTTGTTCTTATTGTTGCTACTTTGTGTGCAAAAAGTGTTTGCATTAAATCATTCGATGATTTATTATAGACTGCTTTGCCACTCGGGAGCTCGTCCGGTGTAAGTCCACATGGGAATTTTAATGGTTTGGCATTGTTGTAGTTGTTGCTGCCAAGTCTAGCCAAAAGTTTTTGCTACAAATAAGTAAAGTAAAACGAAATCGCAGCATGATTTTGGCAAGCCTAAAGACAAGCATAAGCAGTGCAGAATGTGGAGTTGAAGCTCAAGTGTGAGCCGTTCCATTCATAAAAACAACCGTTACTTACATTCCACAGCGCAAAGACAGGCAAACGCAAAAGGGCTGCAAGGCGCTGAGAGCCGTTGAGCGAAAGAGAGTGAGAGAGGCAGAGAGCTTTGCAGCGTCAACAAGTTTTTTTCTCTGTCGGTCAGCTGTTGTGGATGCCGAGTGGATGCCATCTGCACTTAGTACACCAGTTGCGCCTTGTGGAACGCAGGGCGTGTTTACAGTCGGACCAGCTGATTGGGCGCTGCCGCCGCCGCCGCCACCGCTGCCTCGGCCTCTGCCGCGCCGCGCTGGCAACACTTTCGTCAGGCGCACAGGAAACTGTTTCGTGTCGACTGTCAGCGCGGCCCGACCAGCTGGTCACAATATTTTTCAGCTTTTCAGTTGGCTTTCCATTGCGGCGCCGCACGCACGTGTCTCGGCAACGGTCACGAGTCGGCCTCAGTGGATCTCAGTAGCGCTCTGTCTGGCTTTGTACTTGTGCTTCGGTTCTCTGTGCCGTGTGTAGTCGAAAAAAAAAATTTAAAAATTTAAAATAAATAAAAATTATATATCTATATATTTAAATAATATTGGAAATTCTCATCGGCTGCGAACATAAAATTTTTGTGATTTTTTTAGTGCCATCGAGCAATGATGAATTTTGACTTTAACGGGCATCGTTTAAGCCGCTTCAGTTATCTGGCTGTTGGTTAGGTGAGTTTCTGGTTAAGCACAACTCAAAAACTTTTTGCGAAAGTTCACAAAGCTGTTTCGCTTGAGTATTAGGAGCTTAAAAAATCCGATGAATATAATCCGTGTAACGGTCACTGCTCCAGTGGATAAATATAATTTGAACTAGGATTTCCCTTTGTAGATGGGCAGGTAAGCTTTAAGGATGCATATTGAGCAATCTCATATACATTAAGAGCCCACACCTGTAGTAAAGGCTCTTCGCCTTAAGTAGCGCTTGAAGTTTTCCCCTGCTTATACTTAGCCCATAAAGTTTCCCTCGCTCCACAGGCACCACGGTGAGCCCATCTATTCTTATCTGAAAACAACTCGCTACACTCGTGGCCATTATTATAAGTACATGCTTGGCTTCAGTTTATGATCGATGTGACCACAAAAGTGCAATCGAAGTGCGCACAACTATCAACTGGCGTGTTGGTTTTTTCTTTCTGAATCAAATTTATGTCTTTCATATAAAACATATACTTTATAGTCCACATCGCTGCTGCGTTATAAACAAATAATAAAAACAACTCAAATTGCTTGTACATCTGCTTAGAGAACATTTCACCAACGCTTTATATCCGCCAGTCAGAAGGAAAATTCGCATAAAATTCAAATTCTAGCTGCGAGCAGGCAAAAGGACGAGAGACATAAACTAGAAACCTGCTCAAACCTTGAACAAATGAATCTAATATTTCTAGATACAATCTTCTTTCTGTTGTTGTTGTTGCCTTTCTCTTTTTTATTGCCAGACAATGAAGGCGAGAGTCCAGAAATGTTAGGGACGAGCTCAAACAATGTTGAAGAGGTTTCTGTTTGCCAAAATATTTTGCATGTATAGCGCAAAGTTTTCCAATTTCCCAGAAGGAAATTGTCCGCCGCAAAGTTGACTTAGCACAGCGCAAGCCTTTTTCACACAGCCAACGCGTCTTTTGTTTATGCAAAACTATCCGAACTTCTGTCAATAAAAGTCACAATA